AGGAATGATTTCTGGGTGAAGCTTGTGCTCTTCACCTCTCCCCTATAACTAGTTTGCAAGAAGATAGAATATAAATTTGTCCTCCTCAGTATAGAAAGACAGCTAGTCTAGTCAAACTTTCTGGGAAAAGAAAGCCTCTCTTCAGAGATTTGTCTCTCTCTGCAAGTCCAGGTTTTATTCCTTACAGCATACGAAGGGGCCCATATAATACAGTAATCCAGTCAGTCCCATATCTTATTGAAATAGGAGTCATCTTTACCTCTGGTGCCAAGACAGGCAATAGTTCCATTTTGGCCATTTAATACAAGACTTGTGCTTTAGTGCAAAAATAATATTTATATTAGAAGATATATTAGGCAACCCCCAGCACATGTGCCAGAACACAGCACGCAATGACATTTTGCTTGGCATGCACACCTCAAGGAAGGGGCAGGGGCAGTGCTGCCACAATAAGGATCAGGCTCCTTGCCGGCCATCTGCCCCTGGCATCCTAGCATTTTACAAGTTGAGGCTGCGGGTGTTTTTTGGCACTCTGCCCAAAAATGTTACTGACCCCTGGTACATTAGGAATGCAAGCCATTTTAAAAGCAAATGGACTAGCTAAAAAAAATGCTCAGCTATAGTAACAAGTGGAGATTAGTTTCTGTTCAAGTTTAAAGCACTTTACACCATTGTCTTTCATACTTCAGAAACAAAAGACAGAGTAATTTAAACTTATGATGCACAGCCTCCTCAACAATACACCCATTTGAAAAAAAAAAAAATGTAAGAAGCAGGCAGAGAAGGGCAGGACTGGATCAGACAGTCTATATTTGAAGAGGACTAAATACATTCAACATGCATGACTTTTAAGGAGTAAGGCTTCATTGAAACCATTATCTTGATCAGAGTATTTTATTTTGCTGACCTCAAAGCTCACAAGCCAGCACTTAAGATAGCAACTAGCAATTCACCATGCAAAAATATCTTCCATCTGAAATAATAAAATTTTATGCAATATCCAAGAGTTGATTATTTTTCTAACCTTTGGCAAACATCTGAATTCTATTCCATCCAAGTACTGATGTTACTAGTAATGTTAAAAACCTCATTTTTTGTATGAGCTACAGCAGGTAACTGGTATTCAAGTACAATATTTACAACAACAACACTCAATGTTATGAAAAATCAAAGCATTGCATGGCCCTTCCTTTGCTTTTACAGGTTTAGGTCAAGCCAAAATAGCACAGGAAAAAAACGTTTACAAGAACAGTATACACAGAGGTCAGCTCAGCATTTTAAAAATGAAGTTCATTTCATAACAGTATCCATCCAATGCTAGCATCCTGACAGTGACTGTTTGGTGTTCAAACAGGAAGCTGTTGAGAGGGGCGAATATATCCTTCTACCATGAAAGGTAGCACCTTTATCCACAGAACCATACGGTCACGGACAGTAGCTTCCATACCCTACCTGCTAGACAGCTTCAACTCTGGAGACAAAAAGGAAGATCAGTTGCATACTCAGTGCTAGTTTATGCATGCTCTTGCCCGCTAACAACTTAATTGGAAGCTTCCAACTTACACATGCTACTGAGCAGACTTCATTGTGTTGATCTTTCAAATTCATATCTATATTTGTTTAAATGGTGATCTATAGTTATGTGCAAGCTGAAGTGTACAACTTGACCAAGACATAGCATTAAATTCTAGAAACCTTACACAGAATAATTTGCTAGCTAGTTTCAATATACATTTGGCAATATTAATATCTTTGTTTAAAAAAAGCCTTATTTCAGAAATACAACATATTAGTTGTCATGGTTCATTAGACCAGTTGCCATGTTACAATATTAGTTGGTCAGATTATCAGTCTTCTCACTGTGAGAATACATCACCATGGAATATGAACACAAAAAGAAACCTAAACAAGAACTACATAAAAGCTATACTTTGATTTTCTAAAGGGGCTTTGTCTCGACTTCAATTAGAGCACCGTAGATTTATAAAACAAAATGCACAAGTATTGTTTAACATACTTAACCTGTAAGAATATTTTTCCATGGAAGATGTTTTCTTGCTCACTTTCCAATAAATAGAGGCTTTCAATTGAAAGCATTTATTTTCCTATTTCTCTCAAGTGATATTTTCTTCCTGCGAAATATGACCGGAGCATTCAAAGCAAATCAGTCCGTTTCCATAGCAGCACTGCGGGATTCCTTAGCTACCATAAGTCGCATCAGCTGACTGTGGAATTTCTCTATCTTCTTTACATCTTGAGCCTGGTCTGTTCTATATAGCAGACACTGTCAAAAAAAAAAAAAAAGTTACTGAATATCAGGTTTTATTTCAAACTTATTTTCTGACATTTAGTTTTAATACAAATTCATGCATTTGGAACAAAGTTTAAGCTATACCCTGAAAAGTTTCAAGTTCCTTATCAGTGCTATTTGTACTGTATCCACCCCACACTTTAAGGGGGCAACATAAAGCTTTTACACATTCAAGCTTCTAACTATTACAACAAGTTACTGTTAAGAGATCTTTCTCTGGGTCTTCCCGTATCTGCATTTGCACTGCAAGTTCCTTCCAGCAGTGCTGCCTTCTATTTTGAAAAGAGTTAAATAATTTATACTTAAAGAAAGTTTCCCACTAACATGCAGCATTTTGAATACAGTAAAGGCTAGCTTGGAAAATGACAACAAAAAAATCCATCAAGATACTTTCTTTTTAAGTGGGATATTTAAAAAATTTGAAGCAGACTAAGCCTAAAGCTATTTCCCTTTTAGATCTTTTTTATACTTTGTGGCCACTGATTTAAAGGTAAAGTGAATTTTGGATTCTTGCCCATAGATAAACCACACATTCAAGAGGTACTGCTCCCTGGGGCCATACTGAAGAATGAGACTACGACTCCTTCTTAAGGTTAATGGAACATCTTCCCCACAACTTTTATACCAAACAGTCAAGACAAACGTAACTAAAGCGACAATACATCCTGGTTTGCCCAGATCTTGAAGGCCGGCCTTACCAGTTGGTGAAAATTAAAATGAGCGTCCCAGAATCACAGTCAGTCAGGTGCAGGAGGTGGAGCAGCATGATGCATCAAACAGTTTCCCATCCCCACCAGACTGCACCTGCACCCCTACCCACCAGCTTCTGTTACTGCTTGCAGCAGCGCAGCTGACTTGGGGTGGGAGGGGACAGGACAGGTACAGTGCAATGACCATTCCTTAGTTACTGTAAGCATCACCAGCTTGCTATCCTATGACTACTACATACTGGACAAAGGATTTCTCTTTATGGCAAACCTGAATTGAAAGTACTGATTTTAGGTACAAAGAAGTGGGAAAACATCAATGCTTTTATTTGCTTAAATAGCAGCTTGAAGATTTAGAGACCCTATCTGACACAGAAAATAAACTGGCAGAAAAATCTGACTAGATGCCAAAAATGATTAGTTACCTCTAACTGAGCAGCAAAAGCACAGGAATGACCTAGCTATGCAGATTTGTTCTTTCACTTAAAGATGGAAAGCTTCAGTCTCCAGGGCTGTCAACACAGCAGCTTTACCAGCCTTAAATTCATGTAAAACTTAAAAAACACCCACACCCAAATCTGAGAGACTCAAGAGAACACAAGCCGGTTTCCTTTTTCCCCCAGTTATACCAGCTCTGCCAAATCAACAGTAGGAAAACTTAACTTAATAAAGTTACTCACTGTGACTTAGTTACAAGAAGCAGATTTTGCCTCCCCCTAAAGCCTTACTGTCACTGAAGTGCCTGTATTCAGTAGAAAGGAAGGACTGAAAGTTTCACCCAAGGATGGTGAATTACTTCTCTACAGCCTAGACTCAGCAGCACTGGCTACCCCTTCCGACTGATCTGCACAGATCAGATAGACAACCCAGATCCCTGAACGTTACTGTTTGCTGTGGAAAAAAGTGGATATTCTCCTTTAGAGGAGAAAAATGCAGGAAACAGCAGGTTTTCCCCTGCAGGCTGGCAGATTTCCAGCCTCCAAGGGGCTGCAGGGAGGACACAGGGGATGCCACATGCATGCACCACATACATGCATATGGCAGCTAGGCAGGCTGGTGGAGAGCAGGTCCCTCCAGGTAAGTCTATGGGGGGTGGGGAGGGGGAGGGAAAAATCACCTTGGCAGCACAGCACCCCCTCCCATGCCAGGTTCTGCCTGCTAGGCCATGGAAGCAGCTCCTGCTCAGAGCTGGTCCATCCTGCCGCAGTCCTGCTGTGGGCACAGAAATCTCAGGTGAGGGAAGTGTGCCTCCCCCCACCTCTCCTCTAAATCACCTGTGCTGCCCCCCTCCCCTTCCTCCCACACTGGGAGGCTGGGGCCTGGGAGCAATGGGTCAAGACTGAGGGGTACCAGCAGGGGTGAGAGTGGGGGCTGTGGGTTGGGAGTGAGAGGCACTGGAATAGGCAGGGCACAGGCATATCAGGACTGTTCAGCAAGGGGCTGGTGGGGTGAGGTAGGTGGTAGAACAGGATAGCCACACCTGGACCCTTGTCCTGGTGAGTGAAGGGGACAGTGGGAGCTCTGATTTTCCATGACAGAAAAAACCCCACAAAAATCAAACACCAAAATATACAGATATTTGGTATTTAGAATTTATTATGCTTGAGGTACGGATAGGCTTCCAAATTGTAACTACATTAATGAAACATTGTGTTCAACTGATTCGACATATATACTTTTTATTCATATATACACACACAATCAGAAAAAAAATGCAGATTTGGGCTTTTTTTAAAAATCAGAGGATTTGTATTTATTATCAGAGAATTTGGTATTTTTAAAACAAAGAAAACCAGGATCCCTGATAATGTTATATGCAACTAGCAATAAAAATATTGCATTGCAAGTACCCTTCTGGTTCAACATACAGCACCTTTTCTCCTTCGCATCATAAATGAAATAGGGTTGGAAGGAACTTTTATATTGATATATCAACAAAAAAATGCCACATAATTTTGGGTGTGATCTTTTGCATCATTTTTATGCTGGCAGAACGCTTAGTATAACTACATCTGCACCAGTATAAGAGCTTTTTTCAGTACAGATTATGTTACTCATTGAGCCAGTATAACATACTGAAACAAAATACTTTTGGGCTAGTATAAATTGAGTCTATTTTAGCAAATTTTCCAAAGTAAAGTAGCAAACTCTCTCTTGTGTTCGCCCAAGTTTTTTATATAAGCAAAATAAAGAATTTTTTATGGGAGCAAGTGAATTTATAATTTTAAAAAATCCAGTAAATTCCTTTGGAACAGTTATGAACTATTAGATTCAGTGAGAACAGAGTTGGGCATTACATCAGCATCAGAAGCGCACAGACTAATTTAAGTACTGTGATGACTTGAGAAGTTACAGCTAATCCTACAAAATTAAGCAAGATTCCCAAAAGCAGTTTCTACTGTCAGTCAGGTTATATGACATCATTTGTCTTAAAAAGCCTGCATTATTAAGCCAAGGTCACAAATGCTCCTTACTTACAACGACATCATCTGTTACTTTGATACAAAGGTTCCCATCACAGTGGCGATATTTAAGAACCACACGCACCTGAAATGACAAAGACATTTTTAGTAATTATATACAGAAATCTGAATATTTATACCAAGTTTTCCTGAACTGCAATGCCTTGTTTTTACATTTTACTGGTTTCAATAACTTGTACATAAAATTTCACCATGGAATTTAATTTGTTCATTTATGATCCATTTCTTTCATTTCCATGCACTATCAGAATATTTAAAACTTGCCTACACTGTGAACAATCTAAAATGTGACAAAATGTGACAGTTAAGAGGCTGTGACTTGGACGACTACACAGTCCGGTGGGTGGCGAATTGGCTAGAGGGTCGCACCCAGAGAGTCATAGTGGATGGGTCGGTTTTGACCTGGAAGGGTGTGGGCAGTGGGGTCCCGCAGGGCTTGGTCCTTGAACCGATACTCTTCAATGTCTTCATCAGCGACTTGGACAGGGGAGTGAAGTGTACTCTGTCCAAGTTTGCAGATGACAAAACTGTGGGGAGAAGTGGACACGCCGGAGGGCAGGGAACAGCTACAAGCAGACCTGGACAGGTTGGACAAATGGGCAGAAAACAACAGAATGCAATTCAACAAGGAGAAATGCAAAGTGCTGCACCTAGGGAGGAAAAATGTCCAGCATTTTCCAACCTACTGCCTAGGGAATGACCTGCTTGGTGGCACGGAAGCAGAAAGGGATCTCGGAGTCCTAGCGGACTCCAAGATGAACACGAGTCAGCACTGTGACGGAGCCATCAGAAAAGCTAACGGCACTTTATCGTGCATCAGCAGATGCATGACGAATAGATCCAAGGAGGTGATACTTCCCCTCTATCGGGCGCTGGTCAGACCACAGTTGGAGTACTGCATGCAATTCTGGGCACCGCACTTCAAGAGAGATGTGGATAACCTGGAGAGGGTCCAGAGAAGGGCCACTCGTATGGTTAAGGGCTTGCAGGCCGAGCCCTACGAGGAGAGACTAGAGAACCTGGACCTTTTTAGCCTCTGCAAGAGAAGGTTGAGGGGCGACCTTGTGGCTGCCTATAAGTTCATCATGGGGGCACAGAAGGGAACTGGTGAGGTTTTATTCACCAAGGCGCCCCCGGGAGTTACAAGAAATAATGGCCACAAGCTAGCAGACAGCAGATTTAGACTGGACATTAGGAAGAACTTCTTCACAGTTAGAGTGGCCAAGGTCTGGAATGGGCTCCCAAGGGAGGTGGTGCTCTCCCCTACCCTGGGGGTCTTCAAGAAGAGGTTAGATAGGCATCTAGCTGGGGTCATCTAAACCCAGCCCTCTTTCCTGCCTATGCAGGGGGTCGGACTCGATGATCTATTGAGGTCCCTTCTGACCCTAACATCTATGAATCTATGAAAAGGTTGTGGGTGTGCTTTTATAACAGTTAGACAGTCTCGTAAAAAGATGGAAGCCTAACCCATCTGTTATCCTATTAAGTTTACGGCTTTAACCAATTCTTCACCTCCGTTTTCTTGTGCAGGGACCGGGACTTCCCTGCTGTGATAGAAGCCGGACGCGAGGGGATCGCCTTCAGACCTCAGGTTGGGGAGGACCGGGTTAGAGAGCTTCTGGAGGGGCTGGACGCGTTCAAGTCAGCGGGTCCGGATGCTCTCCACCCCAGGGTGCTGAGGGAGCTGGCTGGGGTTATTGCAGGGCCCCTGGCACGGCTCTACGAGCGATCGTGGTGCTTGGGCCAGGTGCCAGACGATTGGAAGGTAGCTAATGTGGTCCCCATCTTCAAAAAAGGGAAAAGGGAGGACCCGGGCAATTATAGGCCCGTCAGTCTTACCTCAATCCTGGGGAAGCTCTTTGAGAAGATCATCAAGGAGCACATTTGTGATGGGCCGGCATCCGAGATGATGCTCAGGGGCAATCAGCATGGATTTATTAGGGGGAGATCATGTCAGACCAACCTGATTGCCTTTTATGATCAGGTCACAAAGGCCATGGATGCAGGTGTCGCGGTGGATGTAGTCTTTCTGGACTTCAGCAAGGCCTTTGACACCGTCTCTCACCCCATCCTAATTAATAAACTAGGCGACTGTGGCATAGATGCCTACACGGTCAGATGGATTGCAGATTGGCTGAAGGGTCGCACTCAGAGGGTGGTGGTGGATGGATCATATTCGACTTGGGGGGAGGTGGGTAGTGGAGTCCCTCAGGGCTCGGTCCTGGGCCCTGCGCTGTTCAATGTCTTCATCAGCGATCTTGATGTTGGGGTGGAGAGCAACCTGTTTAAATTCGCTGATGACACCAAAATTTGGGGGGAGGTGAGCACGCTAGCAGGGAGAGAGAGATTGCAGAAGGATCTGGATAGGTTACAGGGGTGGGCAGACAGGAACAGGATGCGTTTCAATACGGACAAGTGCAGGGTGCTGCACTTGGGTAGTAGGAACCAGCAGCACACTTATAAGATGGGGAGCTCCCTACTTGAGAGCACGGAGGCGGAAAGGGATCTTGGTGTCATTATTGACTCCAAGATGAACATGGGCCGACAATGCGAGGTCATGGTTGGCAGGGCTAACCGGACCTTGTCGTGCATCCACAGGTGCATCTCGAGTAGAGCCAGGGAGGTGATCCTCCCCCTCTATGCGACGCTGGTCAGGCCGCAGCTGGAGTATTGTGTCCAGTTCTGTGCGCCCCATTTCAGGAGGGATGTGGACAACATGGAGAGGGTCCAGAGGAGGGCCACCCGCATGATCCGGGGACAACAGGGCAGACCCTACAGTGAGAGACTGCGGGACTTGAACCTATTCAGCCTCCACAAGAGAAGGCTGAGGGGGGACCTGGTGACCGTCTATAAACTCACTAGGGGGAACCAGAAGGGTTTGGGGGAGACGCTGTTTCCCCTAGCCCCTGCTGGCATAACAAGGAATAATGGGCACAAGTTGATGGAGAGGAGGTACAGATTGGACATCCGAAAAAACTACTTCACAGTCAGGGCGGCTAGGAGCTGGAACCAACTTCCAAGGGAGGTGGTGCTGGCCCCTACCCTGGGGATCTTTAAGAAGAGGCTGGATACTTACCTGGCTGGACTCATTTGAGTCCCGTTTTTGTTTTTAGGGTGAGTGGTTTTGTTTGTGTTTTTGGGTTGTTCTCCCGCCCTGGCGGGGGGTCGGGCTAGAAGATCTATTAGGTCCCTTCCGACCCTGAAACTATGAAACTATGAAACTATGAAACGTATTATTTGGTCACACCACAATCCATTTAGCTGGATAAGAGTAAAAACATTTTGTCACATCCAAATGAGGCAGAAGAAACTGCCATTAAATATCTAATAAGGAGTTAGGAATTGTTTTGGATCTGGCCATGAGAGGCTATGATAGGCAAGACTGTTCCTGGTAGGATGGGGAAGCCTGAGAAGAAAGACTAGGAATCAACCATGTTTTTGCTATATTCCATGGGAGAGGGGGAAGAATTATGTGAGTATCATTGTGGGACTAGTTTAGGACAGAAAAAAAGAAGAAAAAGCATTCATGTTTTGGATCAGAGAATAACAAAGAAAAAATAATTTCTTTACAATCCTTGCCTTTCCCTCCCCACTCAAACACACCCCAATCCCAGTCAGGATTTGTCCATACAGGAGATTTTTCAGGTGGTGTGAAATCTAGAGTCAAGGTGACTGGAAAGAAAGCAAAAGAACAGAGAAAGCTTTGAATTCAACTATCCAAATTAACATAAAACTTCGTATCACAATACACCACAGCAGTATCCTCTGTGGCACCTTCAGAAAAAAAATGATTTGACACAGCAGAAAGTTTTACAACGAGCTGACTGAAAGTGGGCAAAAAACCTTAAAACACAGTTAGCAGGGTTGTATATCAAAGATATACTTTGATCACTGGAAATCGCCTTTTCAAACCTTTCCCTGGTTAAAAGTAAACTGAAAAGCTGAATCAAAGCTTGCTACTGGCTATGGTGAGTACTGGAAAGTTCAGCTCAACCCAACCCAGTCTTATGCCACTAACTTCTACAATATCTAATCTTGTGTTTAACAAGTTAATTTCTAGCCACTGTAGTTAAGAAATCCTTCCAAACAAGCCAATGTAATTGAGCTAGAGTCTGTAAGCAGACTATTTCAACACCCCTGCTGATAGTTGTTTTCGCAAGCAGAGAGAAAATTAAGTATACAGATAATTTTAAAGCTCCTAAAATTAGAGCTGTGGACAGCAGTTAAACTAGGATGAGTTCTCAGTTACGTTCTGTTGCTGCTTGTGAAAGAGCAACTGAAGTGTGCCCTTTTTATAAGATTGCCACTAATAATCATTTGCATTCAGATTAAATCCAAATACAACCTTCACATCTTCTTGGACTCAGTTACTGAACACCCTAAAGCTGTTACAACAAGACATACAAATCATACACCTCTCCCCACACAATGCATTTCTACCTGCAAATGACCAAAAAACTGCCTCCCTTCTAACTGAATGTAGAACTGCTGATAGTGATCTGCATATTTATGACCTTCATCCTTTATAGAACACATACCCAGCAGTAAAACTTCATCAGTCAGACTATAACAGGTAACTGTTATCACCAGCTTGTTGCCCCACTATGCAACGGTGCCTCACCAAATACAAGAAGTGTATCTTATAGGTATGTTCATCAACATTCCTTGTCATGAGACCAACTCATTACTCAAGAAGAGTCTCTACCCCTTTGCCCACAACACCTGCATTCCACTGGAACATAGAAACAAGCTGGGAGTGGGGGGAAGTAGGGAGGGGAAATGAAAGCAGCAGCTTTCATATAGATGATTGTATTTGAACCTATCTGTAGCATTTATTCCAGAGATAAGAATTGGAACTGGTTAGCTTTGTGACCAAGCTCTTATTTTCTCAGCTTGCTGTTCCTGCAGTGTTTGTGGGTCACAAGACTGTATGAAAGGTTGCAAACAAACTTTAAAAATGGATCAACAAACTTAAAAACATGGGAAACCGTGGCTTTTACCTTGCAGGCTGGCAGAGTTCCAGCTTGCAAGGAGCTGCCTGGGGCCCCCCCTGCCCCATACCCCCTTCCCCACACACCAGGGGGCTGGGGGCAGTGAGTCACAACTGGCCATTGATGTTTACAAATGGGTCTTGGTACAAAAAAGGTTGAGAACTGCTGTTAACACAAGAAATGACTAATTCATGCTATCTTGGCTTGGAAAGAAGAAAACATTGTATTTTAATAATCCCCAAGTATTGCTAGGGAGGTGCGCTAATACTGTACCACCAAATGGTCCAAATTAAACACCTACGCAAGCAGACACAATGTAGAATTTATGAAAAAAGGAAAACCCTCCCCCCATAAAAACCACCCCACCATTTACAAGAGAGCTGGTAGCAGAGACCTATAAAGGTGCATCTCAGATGTGCCAAGGGGATGAACAGGTCTCGAGACTGCCAGAAGGTTCTAGGGTTTAGGAAGGCGAGAAAATTGTTCTTGGCTTCTAAAGAGTTTATGTGGGTAGTAAGGTAGCTTTAAACAGCTTTATCAGACATTTACATACCAACCAACAGGTTCAGGGACAACGCTCTCAGAGGAACCACAGCAGCTCATCTTTCAGAAAAAGCAGAAGTATGAACTGAATTTTTCAAGTAAGGTTTTACCTGAACCTCACCAAGTCTCTGTAATGTTTCCCAGCATCAATTTCTAGCTAATAGGTGCCTGGCAAATTTTGTAAATCGTGACTATTAGAAGTAAGGGAGAGAAGACAACCTTTTAAACTAGGAAGTACCTGTTTTTATCACAATCCCTGAAGTGGTTGTTTTTGGGGTTTTTTGTTTGTTTTTTTTCCCCGGGGGGGCGGGCTGTAATAATCCAAGAACCCATGAACCTCAAGAAGTTTACATCAGCTTGCCTTGCACTAGTGCATTTTTTTTAAACTTGGTTAATTTTAGGCCTGGGCTTGGGTTAAGCTAGTTATAGATGTTGAATGAAGTGTTGCCCACTTCATGCGTAAGTAGTGTAAGTGTTGTAGGTCTGCAGCAGCTGCAGTAGCTGTTAGCTTGCTTGCCTCTAGCAGTGGTTCCCAACATTTTTTAATACTACGGACTGGCAAACTCACTCAAAGAATTTTGGCGGATTGGGTATAGAAACAATTTAATTTTTAGTGGGGTGGGGTTTGCAAAGAACATCATCAATAAAGTTGGAGACAATAACTAAAAACCATACATACACATCACTAGCTGGCTAACGTTAGCTAGCTAGATGCCGAGGATACAAGGAGACAAACCAGTAGCTACAGCAGTCTTGCCGATTCAGAAGTGACTAGCCACAGTTACTGCAGTCTAATTTCAAAAGCTAATGTCACAGTCATCGGCCAAGTAAAGACATTCTCACCCAGGCAATCAGCATGGTGTGGACGTGGCCTGGGCGTAGAACTGTTGCTAGCAGTGATTAAATCTTGTGCCACAACCCGGCAGCCAACCCTTCGTGGCCTGCCACCAGGTCGTGGCCTGGTGGTTGGGAACCTCTAGCCTATAGTAACTATCCACTCCCTACCACAGTGGCAAACACTTGAACAGCACCTACTTCAAATAGACACTCCAGAAAAGCTGTTAGTTTGTTCAGTCCAGATGCTGGCATAATTTACATCAGTGCATAACACACACTTAGGTTACCTAGTGTAACGGAAGATTATTTGCTTAAAAAAACAAAACAAACAAACAAAAAAAACCTCTCACATATGCAGTCATTCTCTTGAATAAATGCTATAAACAGAGAAGTCAGCTGTTATCATGCAGCCTTAAGTTTTTAAGGGGGAAAACAAATTACCACCCATCCTGGCCTTTAATCATATACAAGGTACCAAAAGTAATTTCAACAAAACCCTGAACATTTTCACTATCTGAATGAAAGCCTATATCAGTTCTTACTGTACAGCTATTTTGTCAAGTAAGCAAACAGTGCCGTCCTTTTCTGAACCCATCAGTCATGACAGAAACAGGTGAAACTTTTCCCCACAAACCAACTTCAGCATAAAAAGCTTTTGATTCCAGCTCACTGAGATGAAGCAATTACACCTAGTAACTGACCCCTTAAAGGTTTTCTTTAAGCCCTTTCCTTCTTCTCTCTGCTACACTGAACCTCCTTACTTCATCAGTTGGAGAGGTAAGCTATTCTAAACACAGTAGATGCACACAAGGTAACTTAGGAGCTTAATAAATGCTCGCTTTCGTGATGAAGCTTTGCAAGTCGGTCTACTACACAGTAATGGAATAAAAAGACTAGAAAAAAGGGCTACTAGACAAACACACACAAGTCACTAATCAAACACCTTTTTAACAATTCACAAGCCTTGCAGATTTGTCCCAATACCAATATACTTGCCCCTGAACATACCACAAACAAAATGCAGTTTTCAAATGTGTTCCTGAAATCAGATGCAAGAAAGCTACCAGACATTTAAACAGGCCAAGCACAGAAGACATCTCTGAGACCAGATAGATTGGTTACGGTCCCAAGTTCATACTACACATCCGTGGTTCTGAACCCAGGTGCCAGAGCACCACTCTGGGCTCACTATACAAGACCCCTGCGCGGTGCCATGGCACAAATGCCACTGCTGTAGCAATCAAGTGAAACCCCAATGTACCTCCTCCAGAACCAGACTGTGGGCGGGGGGGTTGATCTTGTCACAGCCCTTCTCAAGCCAACTCTGCATGCTTGTCCTGGAAAGAGGCAAAGCGGATTGGTGGAACTGTTCTATGCATCTGTTTCTAGTACGAGCGCAAGACGCCAAACCAAGAAGGGCTATAGCAAGAACAAGGGCTTGCACCTGCTTTAGGTTTATCAGGCAACTCTAACACGGACACTCCTACTCCAGCCCTTCTCCCTTGAAGCACACAGGGTGGTTCCATCTGGCCCTGGCATTCCCAGGGCAAGGAACAAAGAGGGAAGCCAGGGCAGCACAATGGTGGGATCTCAATTGGGTGTCACCAAATTCAAACACGTTGAGGGGGGCACATCTTGAAAACCTGGGAGCCACAGCACTAGGTACTAGGCCAACCGACGTCACAGAGCCAGACCTACTTATGAGGGAACGTCACCACCTTGCCTTGCCACATCAGTGCTGCATGCCACCCTCCAGCAAAGGGGACTGTTAGAAGAGAACTCATGGTGGGAAGGAGGGGGAGAAAAACTAAGAGCCCAGGAGGTTATGTAATCCCTTGTGAACAGGAAATTAATGTATTTTAAAGCTGAATCTATTTCAAGTTCCCTGGGCTGGAAGACCCCTCATTAAGTTGGAACAGCAGAGTTGCTGCATGCAGAACAGAAACACCATTAAACAAAAAAAAATAGGAACAAGAGATCCCCGGTTTCTCCCTTTCGCTGAAAAATGCTGCAAGTCCCAGTCGCAGCTATTGCAAAGGCTTGACTCTGAGGCTGAAAATTAAGAAAGCTGCTGATTTCAGCAATGGACTAGAGGCTATAAAGTTAAAACCATCCTAGGGAATCCTGGTTTTTTCCCCCCTCCTAGAATAATTTCCAACCGATTCAAAAATAAACTGAAAAGAGTGGGGGAAGATAACCAAGATTTTCTTCCCTGCTACATTTTTAAAAAATTTCATTTTCTTGACTACACTGATCTGTGGTTGTTGGCCCATGTAGAGCTGGAACTGGGGCTGGGGCCTCTCCTTCCCCCCGCAGGCCTGGCGCCCCCCGCCCCGCAAACGCCCGGACCTTCATGGGGTCGGCGAGGTAGAGCTTCTCAGCGGCGCGCGTGAACTCTTCCCAGGTCTGGTAATGCGGCATGGCGACCCCGCACCACCGCGCTGCCCCCTCACCAAGACACCACCGGGCGAGCTCAGTAATGCGCCGTCCTATTGGTGCTCCTGCAAAGGTAGGTCCAATCGCAGAGCACGTTGTTTAAAGGTTCTTCCCACACCTCCCCGCCAGCGCAGACCGGCAGTTGGGGAAGAAGACGCATCCATCCGGCGGGACCGGGGCGCCGCTCTGGCTGCGGGCTCACAGCGCCCCTCGCAGGCCGGGCGGGGCGGTCACCCATCGCTGCTGCGGGCCTAGGGATGCTTTCTCCGGAGGGAGCCCGGAGCACCTGATTGGCTCCTGCAGCAGCCAATCAGAGCGCAGGTTCGAGCCCCGGTTGGGGCTTAGGGGGCACCCCCTCTCCCCTGCCTTAGGGCTCCTGTTTGGGGTCGCGCCTGTTTAGGGCACCTCGGCTTCTCCATGTGACTCCAGTGCTGTGTAAGGCCCTAGCTACTGGAATCAGGCGATCACAGGGGTAATGCCAGTTCAGGCACATGAAGCCAGGGCAGCCTGGCAGCTCTGATACCGATAGATCTGGGAGAGGGAGCCCACATTCAGTGTTTTGCTGTCCTTATTTGTTTGAAGGCCCGGTAGCATCCCTGGTGGGCAGCCAGGTGAGGTGCGGCAGCTGTTGGTGCCGGCGCCAGGAACAGCTCTGGCTGTGGTGGCATTTCAGAGGGCATGCAGAGAGGAGGGAAGGTGTCCCTGAGTGCAAGCCAGCCAGGCGTCTGCCTGGGGTTAGGCCCCTGCTACATGTTATGTCTGTTATGCAGTTCTTGGGGCATATGCGGTATCTTTTATTAGACCAACTCAAATAGTTGGAAAAATTCTTCTGTGCAAGCTTTCGGGTATAAATACCCTTTGTCAGGCTGAGGAAGCATCTGCAGTTGGTCTGTTATGCAAGTAACTAGTGAATTGCATAATAGATTGACACCAGTTGCATAAGTAATTATTACAAGTAATGACATAAGTAATTATCACATGATAAAAAGGGCTCTCCGGCTATGAAAAGAGCCAACCAGCTCCATAGTTAGTGCTTGAAAATGTGTAACAACTCTAGAAAACTGGTTTTTATCCAGCTTTCATTTCAATGTGTGGGATGGTTTGGGCAGGGACCTGGACTTGAGCAGGGGGTTGGGCACAGCCTCCAGCCAAGCTGTCCCCGGCTGCTGCCGTTCTGGATGCACATCCCTCCACAGTGCAGGCCAATGCAAGAACTCACAGCCCTGGGGCTTGGTTTGAGTGTAAACCCAGCATCAGAAGCCAAGTTTTCTAAGGGAAGGGGGAAGCGGTGCTCTGGGGCAGAAGGAATCTCTCCAGGTGATGCTGACCTCCACTGTCATCAACAGAGGGGAAGATACTAAGAATTAGGGCCACAAGGGGTGAGGCCTGGTGCAGGGAGATGGGGTTAGTGGAAGAGTGAATCCCTGAGAAGAGATGGATTGTCCAAGCCATAGGGGTGGTTCTAATTCAGATTTAAGCCCGCATTGCACTGTGAGCCAATAAACATAGTCATGAATATTATGTAAACCCTGTGAACGGGAAATTAATTTCTTTTAAAGCTGAATCTATTTCTAGTTCCCCAGGCTGAAAGGCCCCTCATTAAGTTGGAACTCGGCTGTGTGCAGAACAGAAACATCTTTAAACAAAAAATCACTGGTTTCTCTGTTTAGCTGAGAAATGCTTCAAGTCCCAGCCACAGCTATTTCAAAGACTTGACTCACAACAGACGTTGTGGCTGAGGCTGAAAACGAAGTTGAAGCTGCTGATTTCAGCAAGGGACTAGAGGCTATGAAATTATAACCATCCTAGGGAATCCTGTTTTTTTCCTTCCCCTAGAATAATTTTAAACTGATTAAAAATAAATTGAAAAGAAAAATTAGGAAAAAATATGCACATTTTTTCTCCCTGCTCCATATTTTTATTTCATTTTCTTGAGCGCATTGATCTGTGGTGGTTGCCCCATAATTGCACAGGTTGAGATCATAACCAATCAGATTGCTCCATTAGTCCTGTTGATGTTATAAAGCTTATATAATTGCCCTATTATAACAAGCAAGCAAAATAGCAGCTTTCTATTATCTGCCTTAGGGGGATGCACTTAAAACCCAGAAGTCCCAGATCTGAATCACAATGGAAGCGGTTGTTTCGGATTACTTATACTGCAATGAACAAACCTCCATCATGTGGTGAAGTAAACAAGTAGAAAAGCAGTTAAGGAGGCAGGTCTGCATAGGAGAGGATGAATTATGCAGAGCAGCACCAGTTTCCACCAGCAACATGGGGAAATTTTAGCAATGGTTTTGTTAACCACAAAAGGAAGGAGAGGGGAAAGAGATGTTGTGGAAAAGGAGAGAGAATGAGGAGGTGTGTGGTATGGAAGAAGATATTTGAGTGAATTTCTCTGAGCCAGAAAATAATTGCTACTATGGGACCTAACAGGAGAAAAGCCTGCAGTGGTTTTTTGTACTTGACTTCAGTAAGTTGCTGCTATGTGATACTGATAGTTCAACTTCTGGTAGAGCTTGCAGAGAGGCAATAAGCAGTAACAAGCTTGTCTATAATGCTGCAGTGGCAGGTCCTGACAAAGACCAGGTTGGGTATGCCCTGCCCATGCATGTCCGCTCTTACGTTCCAGACCCTGAAGCTTGCTACTGAAGTGATTCTGTGCTTGTCCCCAGGGGCAGTTCTCAGGCTTGAGAGCAGATGCTGGGGATGAGCTCAGAGAAGTCTGAGCTTAGGTGAAGTTTTGGGTCAGGAGCCTACCTGCAGACTGGGACATGTAGGGCATGCTGAGCCTTAACCTGGGACCTGAACATTCTTCCACCAAAATCTTTCAAGTGGGTACCCATAGACTTTTGGATAGCTCAGCTTTTGAGGACCCCACCTCAGAAAACCTTAGGTCTGACTTTCAGAACTGCTTCAGTGTGAATTGAAGGTATTGGGTGAGTGGCCTTAGCGGACTAGCGAATCCATCACAGAGAGTCTGATTCTTTACTATGCTGTGTATTTATTTACAACTCTGAAAAGTGGCTGTAATTGTGTATCTCTTTTCTTTTGATTTAAGAGTACTTGACCCCCACCAAAGAGATGTAAATGGCTACACAAGGAGCCAAGCTGGAGAAAGCAGAACTTAAAATAGATAATGTTCTGTGGTGCAATTACCCATCAGATTTGGGGCAAAATTTTCAAAAGTGTCCATTGATTTTTTTTTTTTTTTTTTTTTTCAGTCTCAGTTTTTAACATCCACCCTACAGTTTACAACCTATCATAAATTCATCACAGGGCTAGTTTTCAGAGTTGAAATCAGTGGGATATGTGAGTTTATTTTCTCTGAAAATGAGGTCCAGCAGCTGCAGTTTAGCACCTAAAAGCAGAGGTTATTTCTGAAAAGTTGATCTTGGGTAATGATGGGTACTAGGTAATCTGTCATTTCACTCTGCTGTTTTAATCCTGACTGGAAGCCAGAGTATTTTTTTGCCATGACTGAAGTATACCTTTGATCTTTGCAGCTGTTTAGTTTGAAATTATATGTTTAAGTGTGTCTGTAGCAGGACACTAAGGTGCCTGCTACTGAGAGAGTGCAGAAGACTCCTCAGGTGCTGGTTCCCAAGGCAACGGAAGCCAGCAAATGACCCACACCTGCCAGCGGTCAGCTGGCTATAAGAGGCAAGACCTGGCTCCTATGAGGAGGAGGGGAGCTGAGGTGAGAGGTAGTTGCTGACGGGCATTGAAGCCAGTAGGAGTTCCCTACCAACAGGGAAGGATGAGGAAACTCCTGGCCAGAAGAGAGAGAACCTGAATGCCAGAGCAGCATTGGTCACCGTGGTAGGAGAGAAAACCCAGTAGGCCTGAGCCTAGTTATAGCTGGAGGCTTAAGTTTGTGTTGTAGCCCAGGGGCTTGTGTTTATGTTGTTGTTTGTGTTTGCAGTTTGTTTAACACCAGTGGTTTGGGTGAGGCTATAAGGGGATGGAGGAGGCCTCATAGGGGACTCATGATAGAGTGAGGACCCCAGCCCCAGTGAGGGCACGGAGTTTGGGGGTACAGACCCCAGCTCCACAGAAGAGCCCTAGTGAGGGGGCAGCCTTGTGGAGGGAAGAGCCCTGGTGAGAAGGGTGGCATATGGAGAAGGTCCGCAAGGCCTAGACACGCCGGACACCCGGAGCAGGAGAACTGTGGCCAAGTGGAGGAGAGGTAGCCTCCCTACAAAAAAAACACATCATTAAAGTTGTGGCGGGCAAGAATAGGAGGGTGCAAATCTGAAGCTTGGCACAGTAGAGGAGGCGGCAAGGGCTAGCATGGCGACCCTGCTGTCCCTCCTATTACAGTGTCCAAAACCAAATTTTGCAAGCACGTCCCAGAACTAGGTAGGTAGGTAGGAATCCTCGAGACTTTTCAGTAGGTTGCTTGTTTAGCACAGCATATTATAGACTGAAAATTCATCTATCTGTGTGAGAGATGTCTGGTTTTGAGCCAATAATAATCTAGTGTTTGAGAATAAATGAATAATCTCTATTTAAAAATAAAATAATACAGAGATTTGTTTTCTGTCATCCTCATTTTCTTTTTTTTTAGCTTTTTTTTTATTTTCTGAAACCATTCCACAAATTGTTTTATTCTTCTAGCACTGTATAAAGTTTCAGTTTTCCCTAGCTTCATCTGATATATCTGAGTTATATTCCATTAGCCCACTTCTGATAATATTTTTTTTTTTTCTCCTTGGATCTAGTGCCATGAAAACCTGTACAAGAATAATATAAGCACTGGTGTGGTGAATTGGGTCTCGCTTGCGGTTTTCTCTGGGGCCCTTTCCTTTCTTTGAACCTGCATGTGCATGATTAATGATCTCTCTCTAAGCAAGATCTGACATACATTGCCACTGCAAGTTCTGCTCCATATAATTACATTTATGCATCTGGATTCCACATGGTACTTCTTGTTTTCTGTCTAGTACCTTCTTTTTCATAAATTATATATTTAAAAAAAAAAAAAAAAAAATTCTTACATCCTATCTTAGGGTCTAATTCTAATAGATGAGTGTCGGCAACCTCTACTGAAGTTAATGGATTAGGCATTTGTTTACCTGCTTTTCATGTTTACGTGTTTCTCTGGCTTAAGATTCAGGTATCTTGTTTCCTTGTGCTAACAGATTTTTTTTACTTACCCGGTCCACTGGGTAGACTTCTGA